TAGCCTCCTAATAGTGGTTTCCACATACAAGAGGAAATGATAGAGGTAACACCCATAGGAAGCCCACAGGAGTACTTATTCTGAGTATTAAGAAAAAGGAAAATGTAACTACTATTATGTAAAGTATATCATTAAAGGAAATTGGAAGTTAATCAGGTTCTGCTAATGGTACAGATGTATTGTTGATTGACATTAGCATACAGAAATCTTTTTCTTTCTTGTATGCAAAGCATGGATGATCATAAATCTAACAAAATGAAAATGTGTGCTCTAAATTTACTTTATTTTTTTTTTTCATTTAAAAGTGCCTGAAACATATGCCTGCAAACATTCGGTATCGAGGCCTATGATTTGAACTCAGCTAAATAATCATCTTGAGTTAGCAAAAAGTTAGCATTTGTAGCAAAATTAGAGCAAAAGTAGAAAAAAAAAGCTCTTTTTGAGATTTGCTTCAGGCACTGTGATCTTCCTTGCCCAGAAGCCTGAAAAACTGTGAAATAGAGACTGAAAAGCAGGACTTACCGTTTAGTGCACTGGCTAGGTGTACTTAGATGTGCATCCCTTAATCGATAAATTCCAAAGCAAAGCATATTGTATGTTTTCAGTGCTTTACAAAATAGATCGCCATAACAACCTCCATCCTATAAGAGAGAAAAGAAAAAAAAAAAAAAAAGGAGAGAGAGAACAGAATTATTTTGTCTCCTTTACCTGTTTAAGCAATGACAGGGAGAGAGGGTTTCAGTCTGACCCTCTAAAAAAGGACACTGGATAGACTGTTTGCTGCTTGTCACGAAAGAGAAAACGTTACTCAAGGAAACAAATAATCTAAATGTTTTATTTCAAACCAAGCAATTATGTAAAGTGATTATTATTTTGAAGAGCACTGGCCTATGAAAAGATGCTAAATTGGAGAGGGTGGGGATTTGGTTTAAGTTGGAAATGTAAATTTTCGGATCAAGCAATGCATATTCAACAAATTATGATGGCTATTGTCTTAACAAATTGGTTAGTATTTGTGACTCTCTTTGGCAGAACAACACTGCCAGCTTGACATATAAAGTCACTAGGGAACACAACAGAAATTAGAAGACAAAATGATAATAAAATGTCACTGTAAAATCATATTCATAAAGAATAAAAAAAAACTTTTGCTTAGCTAAAAATGACTTTATATTTGATATCTGCATATCCAAAATATTGATTTTAGGTAGCAATGTTAATTAACAGTATTAATTCATTCTATCATCATTTACAAAGTGCAATTGAGGTTCTGAGGTAGTATCATATGAAAGATTGGTATTGCTCATTGTATTTGCCAAAACATTACTCTGAGTAGTCAAATATTTTGATGAGCTGTTAATCTCAGCTATGGGAAAGGACCCCATTTGCCACTACAGGAAATGATAGAGTGTTTGTATCTCGTATACCAGATTAATTCTTAATCTGTGATTTTCTGTCATTCCTATGAAAGACACTGCTCCATTCTCTTTGGTGAAAGCTGGTGAATATAAGGGTAATTTAAGAAATGTCAAACTGTGCGTCATCATCAAGGGAAAGTGGATCTTTTGCCATTAGTCTCAAGAAGACTACATGATTTGGTCCAGAAATTGAGGTTTCATTTGAATTTTCATTCATCCAGAAAGAGCAGAAAACAATCTTTACAACTTTGTTTTCAGGCTCATAAGTATATTTTAAACAAGAACTGGAAGCCTCAGAATATGCAAAGATTAAACAAGCCCATCAAGACCCAACAGAGGTGCAGATACTGTTCATAGGCGTCCATTTCTCACCATACAAATCAGCTCATCCATCTCTTTCAACGAAACCTCAGCAAAGTCCCATTTTTTTTTTCCCCACTGTGCATGAAATACCCAGAGGAGAGGTTTGAGGGCTCATATGGCTTTGCAAAAAGGGTAAGGGCAAACCTGGCACCTCTTGCTGTAAAGTGTCCTTAGAGCTTCCAAAAGCTTTGACAAATTAAATAACAGAAACAATATGCTAATTAGGACAGATTTTCAAGTGAACGTGAGAGAAAGCAAATTGATTGCAGAGTAGCTGCCGTCCTGCTTTTCTGCTGTGCTCTTACCCCGAGGTCTGCAAAGGGCCCGTCGTAGAGGGCCAGCTGTGCCACTCGACACCGGTCCCTGTTGGCCAGGGTCTGGGGGGTGCTGTAGCCTCCCCGCAGCGCGTTCTCCTCCGCGATCAGCGCCTCCAGCTCCGGGGTGGCTCCTCCTGTTACCAGCGTCCGGATCAGGGTGAGGATATTGTCATTGAAGTATGTCTGCAGAGATAAAAGAAAGCTCCTTAAGCAAACACCATTAAAGTCACAACTGAAGACATCCAAATTACAACTTTTCTGGGTTTCTGCTGTTTAAAGTTCTTGGCTGTCTCTTCAAATAATTTTATATAGAAAGTGAAAAGACAGCAGCTTCCAATTACTCTATTTTCTTCTATCCCATTAGGCTCCTATACTAGATCCTGCCTTCTAAACACCAATTCAGGCTGATTTTTATTAAAGTACAAAAATTTGAATGATTTATGTTTCCTATAATTGGTGTTAGTAGTGATGCAATGACTGCTTTCCTTCGCATTGCCTTCATGTCTAATAATGGGCTTTAGGACATGTAATTGTAAAATTCAGACCACATTTAAAGCTTACACAGGCTAGATTGCCTTTTTACTCTTGTCACCAATTCGTTGGGGAGCTGCCTTTGTGCTGCAAATGTCATTACTTATTACTGCGGCTGGACTCTAGCAGTCTAACCGATGTATTGTACTAAACATCTTATTACGAGACTTGACAGTGTTCAGACATAAGCATGTATCAATTAAACATCTTGAGTTCATTCCAGATAAATGTATGATGAGTTTGGGATCCTGGTGGTCCTTTTAAAAAACTCTAGGGTATAGGGTAAGTGTGGTTTATTAGGGAAGATTTACTCCACACTGACATTTTGCCAGCATCTGTAGCGTCGCTGGTCTGTCAGGCAAACAATGGGCATTTTAAATATTAATTTAATGCCAGATGAATGACTTTCAAGTTCACTTAAAAGTATAGTGCTGTATTTCAGAGATACTCAGTTAAATATTTGCAATGTAAAGTATATACTAAGCAAAAAATAATCACTGCCAAAAAAAGCAGACACTATCACTTAAAATGTCACTAATGTCTGGGTATTCAGAAGCTTTGTAAGTATCGGGGACATATAAGAAGAAAATGAGCTAACTAGGGTGTGCAGGAGTCATGGTACTAGATTTGTGATTTCTGTTGAAATTAGAACAAATGTCTGTAAGCCAGCCATGTAATAACGACTACTGAATTCTCAAATGGTGCTTATTGTGCCAGGATTTCAAAAATACTTTTCAATGAAAGTCACTGCTCTATCCACATAAAGTAATCGTATTTAATAAATTGGTAAACTGAGGTACAGGTTGAAATGTTTTATCCTGAGATCAAAAAGCAAAACTGGTTCCCTGTCCATGTTACTTTGATGCTCTTCCTTTGAATAACTAAACTTCAGTTTTATTGTTCACTTGAGATGACAGATAAAACAGAAGAAAATGAATTCTACATTAATTCTACATTTCATTGTTATATTGAAATTTTATAATGTTGAGTTTATTTACATGGGCATATACACACTATTCACCTGTTGACTAAATAAAAATGAGAGGAAAATCTTGTTACTGTTATAGGTGACCTAAAGCAAATATTTGTATCTCATCAACTCCAATTTTTTAAAATTAGACTGAATAAAGTACTCATATTGCAAAAACAAAGTATATTGTACAGCGTAATCTGACATTAGCAAATGTTCAGGAAGAATCAGTGAAATCTGAAACAACAGCTCTAAAAATCAGCTCTTACATGTGTGGATGAACTCTGTCCATGTGCAACAATTCAAGTTCAATATTCAAACCTCTCTTAATATATAGAAAAATCAAGGTGACCCATTGCATGCATGTAATCAGGAGTGCTTCCATGATGTTCAATGGGAGCTACACAGGTGAGAGAGGCAAGCGAACCAGGCAGGATTTGGGGTTTTTTTTTCCTCCTTTCAATTACATCTTCCTCGATGCCACTGAGGTGAGGATCAGGCTCTCTCTGGCAACGTTGCCCACCGTGCTTTACTTTTCCAACACGAATGTTCTCAGAATCAAAGAATCTGCATCATGCTTAGCTTTTTTTGTTGTCCCTTGTCAACGTACACGATATGCAACTCAGATCTCAAATAATTAGCAGAATGTCTTTTCCTCCTGTAGTTAAGCAGCAGTTTTACTTGACACAAGTTTCATGGATCTCAAACTGAGTTCTAGATCTAGAGTTTGGATGCACTGGAACTGGAGAAACTGGCAAAGCCTTTTCAAGTTTATCATGTTCTATATGGCTATTTAAACAGACATCTTTAGGAAAACACACCATTTTATGTAACAGTAATCTTTTCTCACACCTTCCCCAACTTTTATGCAGGATTTTGATTACCATCCTCTCTTCTCCTCTAAGTAGTGATATTCAATATTATTTTAAAATACCATTTTCAGTTTCGTGTGTTTTTTTTTTATTATTTCTATATAAATCAAGATAAAGGAGCATGAAACAAAAGTAACAGATAGCTTTACCAGTAAATTTTTAAAGTCTGGTTTATAGTCTTATTACAGTGAGGTCAAATACAATGAGAAATGCTTAGTTACTCTCAGACTCATTCATGTGGGGGTCTGTGAAATGTCCTGCTTTTTATAGACTGGTAACTTTCAGTGATTGGTGTAACATGTGCAAGATTAAAGATGTTGTACTAATCGTTTTTTCATTCTTTAGGAGTAATATCATTGTATTCCAAATCTCTCCTTCTATTCCATGAGGTAAGTAACAGCTACAATAGCCAGATTTCAAGATTCAAACACATCTGAATTTCAGACTGTGTAAGAGCACAATTCTCCTCCTATCCAGCTGTAGCTCACTAGAGCATTATCCAGCATGAAATTACAGTGTTGCCATATTGCTCGTTTTACTACACTTCTCATAATAAATTGAGAAATAAAAGCATTGGTAAAATAATGTATCAAGGCAGACATTTGTCACAAGCTCATTAGTATATACAAAAATAAAAAGAAAAGAAAAGAAAAGAAAAGAAAAGAAAAGAAAAGAAAAGAAAAGAAAAGAAAAGAAAAGAAAAGAAAAGAAAAGAAAAGAAAAGAAAAGAAAAGAAAAGAAAAGAAAGAAAAAGAAGAAAACTCCAAAGTAAGAAATAACAGGTTCAGTTCTGACTTCTATCATGTGCCAAGAGAAGCACCTCTGGGAGCTACACCCTGCTCTGGAGCTGATGTCAAGGAGGGCAGAATCAGGTCTATTGTTAGTGGAAGAGAGCGCTGTCACCAAAGACAGGCCTCCCACCGTTAGACAAATGTTAAAGCAAGGCTAAGATACTTATTAGCAAAGGAGGCAACATTTATCTTCAAACAATGGTTTAATTTGGGTTTCGCACCATGACTGATGTGAATGTCACCATTTAATCAGATGGATGAGTGCAGCCAAATGACGGTTTTGTTCATTTGCCATCAGTGAATGAAAGGTTCCAACTATCAGAATGGGCTGCTCTGACATCACAACCCATCAGAAAATGCCCAACCACATGCATGGAAGGATGGTGAACTTGGCATCTTTTGCTAAATAAGGTTACTTCTTCCTGCACTGATATTTAACTCCCCTCAGGAAAAAAAAAGAAAGAAAGAAAGAAAGAAAGAAAAAAAGAAAGAAAGAAAGAAAGAAAAGAAAAAAAAGGAAAAAAAAAAAAAAAGGAAAAAGAAAAAACATTCCTCCATTGTTTCGCTTGCCATGAAAATCAGACCAGAGTCCTCTTATTACCTCTTTCCAGTATGGAATTGGGGAGTACTGAAAAGCTGAACTAGCTGATATCCATTTCATTTGCAATAATAATACACTAAAATTAATTTGAGAGTGATCTTCTACTTGCTCTGTGGGAGGGTAGATGGCCTGGATATGCCAGTACTTATAAGAAAGCAATCTATAGAATGTCTTTGGAAAGGTGCTGCAGCAGTTAAAGTAACAAGACACTTTTCAGTAATGGCAGGAATTCTTTTTGTTAGCTGGAAGATCATAACTGGAGAAATACTTGTTTGCTACTGCTATAGCCCACACTAGATGTTTGCATAACAACTTTATAACCAATAAGCAGAATGAGAATATGAAACAGGTACAATCTAAAAACCAAAAAAAGGAAATGCCTCATAGATACTAAACCTGGGTAATTGACAAGGATTTCCTGACACAGATATCTGAGCTAGCAGTGCCACCTAGCCTGTGCTATGGATTTGTAACGCAGCTTGTTGAAAGTGTAGATGTTTCAGGGATGCCTTCCCGTTTGCTCAATCATTTTTTAAAGTATAATTACCATAGCGCTTATGTTTTGCGGTTAATGCTGTCAAGCCTTTTAAACTAATTGGTCTTTTACAGAAAATTTAACTGAAAATTAGCACATCTTTTAATAACATTGCTTTAACTTTAATGGTACTTTGCCTTTCATTTATAATTACTCTAAAATTGTCATTTTTCATGTTTGCTTTTTTTTTAAATAGATTTCTTTTGAGAAGGCCCCTCCTCTGCCCAATGCTACAATATTTTTTACACCTCTTTCCAACAAATATTTTAACCTGATTTTCTTTTCCAGCAGGAGGTATTCTGTTCAGCGAATACTGTTTGCTTCAGATGAACACATATCCAAACAGGGGCAACAACTGAGCTAATCTCAGTAACTGCCTTTGATACAAATTCCACAGCAGAAAAGAAACAACAGTGCAACAGAATCTCAAAATATTGTCCAAACCTAGTCAATATGAAGTAAGAAGAATAAAAAGAGGGATGACTGAGACACTTGCTTTAAAACTCTACTACAGCTCCAAACCAAAACTCTAATGCAGACATAACCAAAGGCCACCATCTGGAGTTTCTGGTGAGCACGTATGTTTTGATTCAAAAGACAGTTCACGTGGTAAAGAGATGATGACCTCTCCTCACACAAGTAGAGTTCACTTGATGTGCACAAGAGCTTTTTACAGCTCTATCAGTGTTCCCCAGTGCTCATGCTCAGAGCATGAATCTAACATCGTTCATGCCTACAGCAAACTCAAAGTTGATGCTGTCTCATATGAATGCTTAAGCACAGAGACTCACCCTGAATTTGGATTTGAACTTCAGGAGGAGGATGCAACATTTTCTGGAAACTATAATCTTTCACGCTGAATGTGAGACTCATTAATTCAAAAATGGGACCAACACACTCACAGTGGTCCTAAATAGCTCTGTTTCTACATCGAACTGAAATAATCATGGTTTATGAAATCAAACTGTCTTGTAATCTAAGAGAAAAGTGTCTTCTCTGGACTACCTATGGAAAAGGGATTGCGCTTCCATATTCTTTCCCAAGAAGTCTCATGGGAGAGAAGGCAAATGGTTTTGTTTTCTTACCGCGCTCATGAGGGAATCCAGCACGCTGACAGCAAATGCAGTTCCACATGCAAAGGGTTGCGTGAGATACAGTTCTGTGTCTGGGTCATCATCATCATCTTGGTCCAAGAACTGCACATTTGAATCGTTTACTGAAAACAATAATAATAATAAATCATAAGGTGCTTCTGAGTCACCAATGTGTGACCTTACATATTACACAATCAGAAAGAAAAAGAAACGGCATATGTCTGGAAACACAGACTTGTGTCTTTGACGTCACTGAAAATGAAATCAAGATGGATGTGAAAATGCGTATTTAAAAATCTGTTCATCCTTATCTTGCTTGTAAGAGGTGACTCTCTTGCTCTTGGGAGGTGACTATCCCTTTGCTGTAAAAGCAGCTCTGTGGTACCAGCAGCTTGACCTCAAAATGAGACACATGGAGCTTTTCTATAACTGAGGCAATCTCGGTATTGGTCAGAAACAGTTGCTAATGCTATGTGGATGCCCCATGAAATGCTATCACAGTACATGACATCAGAATCCTATTGTAAATTCAAGCTTCTTCATAAAACACCGATTTAACTCAAAGGCATCTGCTAGATGCGTCGCTGTGACTCTTGCTGGAGTTGTGTTCCTACATTTACAGTTCAAAAGGGGATAAACTGTCCCTTCAACGTGCATAAGTCTGAAGAAGACAGCAATACTCCAGCTATATTCTTGCAGCAGTACCCTTTGTTCAGGTATTTTTCTCTACATTCTCACTACTTAGCCAAAAATTCTACATTAGCCAGTGTGATTAAGAGTCTATATCAGGCCGAAAAGCCCAAATTGAGCAGTATTTTGCATTTAAATTTTCTCTAGCATTTACCTGTCACAGTTAAGCTCTCTGCCTCTACGCCTCTACTACGAATAGCTCCTTCCTTGAGATCAGTTTATCAAGTGAATGATATTTCATGAAATATTTCATTACCATATTAGTACTCCTCAGGCATGAAAGCACAGACTGCTTAGTTATGCCATCAAAATACCCATTTAACTTACTAAATGACAAATTAATTTCAATTCCCATGCAAGGAAGGAAAATTAAAAAAACTTTGAAAATGCATACATTGACTATGTGACTATTCCCGGTGGTACTGCATCTACCGAGCTGGCCCCAGAAGCTAGAAACCAACTTGAGAGCTCGTGTTAACTAGATCAGGTCTGATTCTGGCTTTAGTTTACAAGTTCTTCCAGCTATTCCAATCTTTTCTCCCACACAGTTTCCTTTTTTATCTTCTATTTTTTCAACTTCTATCTACATACTACTACACTTGCCATGCTTAGCTAACAAAACATGAATAAATACGAATCAAACATCACAACAGGCCTTATGAACTGAGAAGCATTTTAGAGCCCCATTGAACAGTACATGACCGTGATCACACAGAAAGTCAGGAGCAGAGCCAAAGTAGGAGTCCTGCCTCCCCACTCTGCTGTAATTCATCCTAGCAAACACCAATATCCACAATACTCCTTTCTTTGTACTATAGCTATCAATTTATTCATCGGATTCTTGAGCAAAATAGTATTTGAAAGCCTGACGTACCATTTCAAATGTACTTTTTGAAAAGCCTGTGCCTTAGTTTAATTTGCTAGCTGAGAGCAGGCACTACTGACAGCAGCATTCTTCTTCCACTTATATCTGGCAGACTAATACCTGTCTCTGACACCAGGTTGCGAGCTGTGGGTGGTGTCAGTTCTCAAGGTGCTACAAATCTAATGCTGATTCTGTAAGTGCAGTTTTAGCTTCAAGATCTTTATCTTCCCGATGCAAGTTAGCCTGCTATGAGTCCTACAAAAGGTCTCCGGGCTAGGTGGGGTAGGCTTAAAGGCTGAGCTGCATCATAGGAAATGTTGATCCAACACTGCTGGCAAATGCTCCCGAGATCTCTGTTTATGAAGAGGGAGCAAATGCAGAAGCTTGGCCACCCTCTTACAGCTTCAAAACCTGAGCTTCTGAGAAAAGCACCCCAAAATAAACAAAAATGTAGCTTCAGAGAAAGTGTGATACTGGGGATTCTTTTCTGATATCTTTTACTTCTTCTTTGACGCCCTGTGAGAACTGTTAAGGCATGTCCATCACACTGACAACAGGCTGGAATAACAAAAAAAAAGTAAATAAATAAAAAAGAGATTGAGAGAGAAAGGAGAGAGAGAAAGGGGGGGGACCCAGGCCAAAGAAAATGAATTGGTGAGAAGGTGCTATGAAAACAGCCGGCAGGTCAGACGAGTGTGATCAAAGGTTTACTGATGCTGCGTGAAAAAAAAAATCATTAAGAAAGGCCAGAACAAGACCATCAATTTCAACCAGAACCACAAATAAAACACATTCAAAGCAGTGCCATGAGGGTAGCCCCTCTGATACAGCCAGATAAATAAAGAAAAAGCTGATGACAGTAAGAACAACAACAACAACAACAGAAAATAGGCCAGTGATGTGAAGGAAAAAGGCACTCTTACCCAGTTCAGTTATCATTAGAATGTGGGTCCCACTGTTTTTTTCCTGACTGATTGAAACCAAAGGCAGAAGTTTGCCAGGCTTAGCTAATAAGTAAAGTATTTAGGGGGGAAAGAAAGTACAGAAAGAGAATAAAGTAAGGGAAAAAGACAGGTAAGGCTCTGAAAAATAGAACTGGAAAAAAAAAAAAAAGAAAGGAAAAAAAGGACAAAGGACCACAAATCAAGTTTGTATTTGCTGTGAAAAAAACAGAAAAGCTTCTGCACTTCACATCACACCACTTGACAACATAAATACCCACAGCTAGAGTGGAAATCAGAGCCTGGTTACCTACCATCATTGTATTCTCATGGGTAACAAGCCTCATACTATTATACAGGGCTTGGTTACACATGATTAAACAGTTCTGGACCATGAAGAAATAAACAAATGGCCTCTTGCTATTGATTAAATGCACAGGAAATGCCTGCTCATACTTACTCCATTTTTTTTCTTTCTGTTTAACCTTCTTCCACAGAAACCTGCTTATTTGTTACAGTATGTAAAAAAGCATATTGTCTGACCTAGTGTTTATTTAAGAAAATGGAGAAAACCCGAAGAAAAGAGATAAGTATATTTTAGTTATTCTTATGAAATGAAACAATCTGTTACTAATTTTCCATTGGTGAGAATAATTTCTAACAGTTAACTATAGAGAAATCATAGCAGTAGGAGTTACGGTATAGGTAACTTTCCCGAGACTGCACAACAAAGGAAGGAGGAAAAAAGATATGGGAATGTACATGAAAGGACATATGTTAGCTTTTCTTACCTAGCTCTGTTATAATAGGGATGTTGGCTCCTGTTGTAATGGAGGGTTGACGTAACAGACCATGGACTGGACTGTTGTCTGGAGATGACCTATCCATCCCTGGGGGTGTAAAGCCTAAAAGAAAAAGAATTGAAGAGAAAGTTTACAGTGAATAAAATATATGTGTGTATGTGTATACATTATATATATATATAAAAATATAATTTTTATTTTTTAGGCTGATATGAGTTACAATGACAGAAAGAAAATCAACCAACAGCAAGGAATTACTCATATCCTTTTTTCAGAGAAACAAACAAAAAAATCTTTCTTTTAAAATTGAAATTCTTTTATAAGCATCATCCTTCAAAATTATGTATGATACGTAATAATAAATTAATAAATTATTTCCAAAAATCCATAAAAGTTGGTGGGTTTTTTTTCATACATAATTGACATATTTTCATGAAGTTTACAGTTATGGAAATACTAGGATGGAAGGACCCACTCTAACAGAAAAGAAAAGGATGAAAGGAAAAAGATACAGATTCTCAAATAGTAAGGAAAAGGAATGCTCGAAAAGAAACTAGAAATGGATTTATACCATGGGGGATGTATAGGAAGCAAAGGTGGGAGAGGAAGCTTTTTGGCAGGAGCTCAAAGCAAAAAAGATCTGGAGAGCAGCAAGGTTCACCTCTAACAAAGCTTGTGTGTTCAGCCTGATTCTCTACACAGCTTGAAATGGAGCTCTTGGCACTGAGCACTTTTTAATCTTTTACTTTTTTGGAAATAAAAATGCACAGGCAAGACCTGTTGGAGTTCGATTCTAAGTACTGAAAAATAGGTAGTTATACAAAAGCTCATGCAACAGTTGGTCTGGAAAATCATAGTTGACTTTAATGTGCCTCATCTCCCTTTTCCATTAAAGTTGGAGAAAGCATGGAAACATTTCTTTAGTATCACCATTGTAGATGTGATGGTGAAGCCTGAGTCTGACTTGGGAGTTTCACTATTAAACTATCCTTAAACAAGGCAAACTACAAAATATAGAATGGATACCTAATAGTACTAGGATTACTGAGAAATTCTCCTGTTCCTGCAGTGAGAATCGACCATGTAGAAGAACCCAGTATGAATTGCCTTTTGATCATCACAGGAAAGCTAGGTACAACATGAGAAATTGAAGGAGAGGAGAAACAAAAAGGGAGGGAAAAAGTTTGTGAAGGAATTCCTTGGGAGAAAAGCAGTGGATGTGTTGTCTTCAGTAGACTTGCAGGACCAATCCTTTGCCACGAGCAAATCTGAGACAGCAAAGCAATTCCATTTTATATTACCAGGGCATATGAAATATTTTGGATGTAGTTTCTCAGAGATGATTAGAAATGCTGGCATTGTTAATAATTGGCCATTTAATACTAATCACTGTATGGAAACTTACTGAGTAAGACCAGGCTGGTATCAGTGCGTTACCAACTGATTTCTACTTGCAGACATTTGCACGCAGTGTCTGGCACAGTAAGTGATAGCCATTGTGGCTCTTTGATTGCTTACTTATGACTGGGATTCCTTTGACTCAAAAAGTGAGTCTAATTGAGTTCCTTCAGCTGCCATATCACAAGTTAGATGTAACCCTGACACAGCTGGCAAATCAAAGTGCAACTCTGGGCCATATTTCAAACAAAGGGACCGCTATCTGTGAAGAGCTAGAAATCGATGTGAGACTTCCTGCTGCAGCAGACTCCAGTATTTCAGTTTTGTATCTGGTGATGCTACAGCAACAGCAAGACAAGGTTTTTGTCACACTACATTATAAAAGCTCAAGTAGTTAGGAACTACTTGAGCAGCTTAAGTGGCAGGCCTAGTTGGGTCCTCCAGAGAATTACAATACAAAATGGCAACAGCAAGACTTTCCACACTCACTTGAGAGAAAACAAATGCTAATCTCGTTCCCATGGACCTCGGTGGGAGCATCTCTGCAAGCTCTGCTTCTTTCTTTTTCCTGAAGACTTTTCCCGTCTCAGGATGTACCTCCTAAAAACACTTTTTTTTTTCAGTGAATTAGCCTATTCAGATGATAGAACACATAGGTATTTCCCTACCAGGTGAAAGCAAATTGGAGAAAGTTGGTGTAACTGCTTCTAAATGCCTAAATCCTTCTTGTCCTACCTGTGCTGCACTGCACACACACACACAAATACTCTCTCTCGAACGCTATTTGCAGCCACCTCTCTCTAACCCTTCAAATATTTGTCTTCCTAGGATGGTGTTAGAAGATTGAAGTAAATGTGGCATTTCTGTTAGGCACAGACTGTCAGGAGCTCTGTAATTGCACACTGCACACACAGTGCATTCAGTCTGAAATGCAGGAAGCATGTTAAAGGGATTTTGTTTTCTCCTTGAATGAAAAATGGACTCATGCCTTAATATTTTTCATCCTTTGGTCTTGGAACATGTGAGAAATATCTGTGATTTTAATTTAATTTTCCTTTATCTACATGTCTTAACAAATCCACTTTTTAAAACTATCAAAAACTGACATTATATTCAGGAAAGCGAAAATTGGAGTAGTTAGTTAGTAATTTTGTGTGCCTATTTGGTGTCACAGGACACCAGCCAACCTAAAGGCACTTTCCTCCTCCTGAATCTTAACGTACATTTTATTGGCTCTTTATTTTTTTCCTTCAGAAGAAAAAAGCGCAGGAGAACTAACCTGCTTTATCAGAACTTTCATTTAAAGGCAAGAAAAACTACAAGTGACAGCTGTGCGGATTCAGTGAATGTGACATTTTTGGATTTCTTCAACTTGACAAGTAAACACCTTAAATCGGTAATGCTATATGCATAATACATGGCCTGTATTTTGACATCCATCATCAAATGCTGACTTGAGAAAATACAGGTTTGTACATCAAGGAATAGCACCCATAAAGCAGGGAGAAATTCAGGTCACAGGGTATTAGGAAAACTCTATTTCATTACAGAAGCTGAAACAAGCTAAGGCATCAGATTTAAGATCCATTTTCAGCTGTGAAAAGATTCAATTGCTCTGCACAGAGCATTCATTTAGAAATGACATGCTTTCCTCACAAGCCTCTCTTCATTTTCCTTTTCATATTCCATTTTCCCCTTCAGTCCCCAAACCTTGTTCCATTAACACTCATAAAAATGGTAAAACAGGCCTGATAGTTATTGTGATCTTCTTACAACCACAGTCTGCTTTGCTCAACAAACAGCGGAAAGAGCCAGGGCTACAATTGCTTAACAGCTTCAACCCCTGGAGTAAAATTCACACGGCCTGCGCGAGCAGGAGCAGCACGCCTGTGCAGGGGGCTATAGTGACAGCCGTGTGCTTCGGAATAAGGAAATACTCAATTCCAGCAGTTAGGAGGTAAGGTACAGCACAATCATATAGGATCGGTTTTAGTTTGCCTTGCTCATGTACTGTTTGGAGCAACCGGCCTGATGGCCAAGCTGATTGCACTGATCGTAAACCACTGGTTTTGCTCCTTCTTTACAGCACTGTTGGAGTAATGTTCCAAGAAACACAGGAGGGCCTGCTCTGTGTAGCAGTAAATATGTCCTTTTACTTTGCTGATGTGCCTGTAAAGGTTTACTGGGGTTTTAATGTAAAAACAAATTTGGCTCTTGGATGTGTACTGCTTGTGTTGCACTGACTTCACGAGGACCTCAAGGGGCATATCCAAGAGCACATTTTTATGCTATATTTATGTATAAAAAAAAAAGGAAAAAAAAAAAGCTTGCCATTCTGAAGGATCATAAAACATTTCAAACATGCTTTTTTACCACATAGATAAAGTCTATCATATGATTCAGCACTGAAGTGCGGCCAGCTGTAGGACAGGATGAAACACCCATTTCGTAGTGCACCATATGCACTTGTTTCTCTTTCTCTCAGCTTGCCTCACCTTCTCTCTTCTCCTCTCTTCCATTCCCTTCTTCTCATCTCTTCTCTCCTTTCCTCCTTTCCCTCTATTTCCCTATCATTTTGTATGCGTTATTTAGCTGGAACTCTATATAGGCAGGATGCAGTTTCCCAGACTAAAACATCCTGAAAAAATGATGTTCTTGTCATTAAAGTGCCAAGTAAATTGATTATGCCTTTTAAAAATAATGCTATTCTAGGGAAAGGTGTCATGGGATTCACTGGATAAAGTATATATTAAAGTCCTCAAAAATGTAATTTAAAAATCATACAGACTGTGTATCAACGCTGGCTCATCTGAGAAGCATGAAACAATGATCATATTTTGAGCATATATGAATACCATACTAGTGGTGAACTGCCAAACACAGCCCTGACAAGTAACCATGCAGGAATATGAGACAAATTTTCATTAAGCAGAGCCAGACTGAAAGAAGTAATTCTCTTACAATAGGACCTCACAGCTATATCCCTTTGCTACTGTTTGCTGACAACATCCATTAATATTCCATTGAATTTGATGGAATGATAGACTCTATTTGTTATTCTTCAAAGTATAGCCAATTGGGTATACCTGGAAAGTCCAGCAGCAGTCATGCAGCTAAAGAGCTGCTGACATTCATAGGAATCTGTTACAGCCATTCAATTTAGAAACAATCCTAGTTTCTATGTCCCATTTGGTCTGAGACAGAGTTGTAGTTTGGCCTCAGCATCTGGAAACCCTAAATTCTGGTTTCACTTCCGACTTCTCCTGTAATTTGTGTCTACAATACTAATCTCTTGGTGATTATTTCTAAAAAACTTTTGAGCAAAGAGGAATGTGGGAGGAAGACCGTGCGCTCCAGCTCCTTCCAAGAATAGAGCACCTCAGAGAAGCTCTCTCCTGTACCTGGGCCCCAAAATAGGACGAGCTTAAGCTCTAGCGATTGGAGAGTAAAGAATGATAAACACCTCAATTGTAACAAACGCTGAAGCACTGAATGCTGAGAAACAGCATTAAAAAAGACTTTCATTTTCCTCCCTCCTCAAGGCAGTGCATCCTTAATATGTGATAGTTTCCATACTGTTGAATTAGAGAATCCACATAGTGAAAAATTCAAACCACAGTTCTGATGATAACATGGTGCTGTGTGAGCAATGCTAGTCCCTGTTCCTCAAAGGATGAGAACTGTTCCTGGGTGTGCTAGTGATC